GAGGCAAACAGGGTTATGTGACTTGCCCAGGGTCACACAGCCAGGAAGTGTCTGTAAACCATAAAGTTGCGCAAAGATGAGTCTCGTGATTCAGAGCCTTGGGACAGCGTGGTGTGAGCGACCAGAAGGATTAAGGACAGTCAAAGCCTAGCTTCCTCCACTGCCTCCTCTCTTCCTCCGCCCTCCTCTGATTCCTCCGGCCCCTCCTGCTTCCTCCACTCCCCTCCCCACTTCCCAATAGCAGCCCTTCAGACCCTCAAAGATGGTTATCAAATCCCCCTCCCTCCCCATCTTCTCTTCCCCAGGCTAAACAGTCCCATGTCATTCAACCAGTCCTCATATCTCACGGACTCCAGCCCCTTCACCGTGCTGGTCACTCTCCATAAGCTGTGGTGCCCAGAACCGAGCACAGGACTCCAGATGAAGTCTGACAAGGGCAGAGCACAGCAGGGCGATCACCTCCATAGTCCTGGAAGCTCTGCCTCCTCTTGATGCAGCCCAGGATGGCACTGACTTGGGCTGACACATCCCACTCCTGACTTGCGATGAGGTCCACTGAGACCCTTAGATTTTTTTCAGAACAGCTGCTGTCTGCCCATGCTTCCCCATCTTATTTTTGTTCAATTGATTACTTGTACTCTTGAGCAAGAGTTTTCATTGAACTCTACTGAATTTCTTCTAAACAGATTCCAAGCCATGATCCTTGTGGGTCCTGACTGCCATCCACTGTGTGAGCTAGTGAAGGGAATGGAATGGAATGGAATGGATGAATTGGGGAGCAGTGGGAGGTGAGACTGGAAGGTGTGGGTGGGGAATCCAGCCACCCTGGAGCTAAAAGAGATCACTGGGCCTAGGGTCGGAAAGATGAGAGTTCAAATCCCTCCTCAGACACCTGCACATCTCTCTGCCTCTCTATGCCTCAGCTGCCTCAGCTGTAAAGTGAGGGCCATGAGCCTGATGACCACTAAGGGCCCTTCCAGCTCTGAGTCCGTGAGCCTGTGAGCCCTTCACTTCAGAGAGGAGGAAGCTGGGGTCCACGAGGGAGGCGACTTACCCAGGCCCCACAGGCTCATCCAGAGCAGGAGGCACTCAGTGTCCACGCGACCTCAGGTCAGTCCTCGGTCCTCTCTGAGCCTCGAAGTCCTCCTCTCTAGCGTCAGGGAGGTCTCTCTGGGCCCTTATCCACGTCCCTCCCCCCTTCATGGCCCCCTCGCTAGCCTCAACCTCCCCTCCACGGCCTCGGCGTTTCTCTTCTTCAAGAGCATCAGCTGAGCCCCAGCAAGGTGCTGAGGCAGTGAATTGGAGCTCGCACTCACTCAACCACAGAGCCTGCGTGGAGGAGGACGAGCATGGGGTCCTCCCAGTGGCCTCTGCTCGGGGCCTGGGGACAGAAGCTCTGTGTGTGCACATGCCTGTGTGAGCACAAATGTGTGCGTCTGCGTGCCTGGGACGAGTGGGGGGGGGGTGACTGTGAGTCTGGCCACAGGATGGAGAGGAAGGCCTGTGGGCGCAAAAGTGCACACTGTTGTGGCTAAGTCTGGGCTGAGGAGTGAAGGGGAGGAGACGAGGCAGGAGGGTGGGGGTGGGGTCAGGGCGTGTGGATCTGGGACCAGCAGTGTGCACATGATTATGGGTAAGGGTAGGCATGTCTGGGCACAGGATTGTGTGTGTGTGTGTGTTTGTACACCTCCCAAACAGACTTTCTGTGCCTATCTAGACACGTATGTGTGAGTACGCTTATGTGTCTGCCTGCGGGTGCATGCATAAGAGTGTGTGTGGCTGTGTCTGGGTGAGGCTCACCAGATGTGCCTGGGTGTGGGACTGTATGAGTACACATACGGATGTATGCGTCTGTCTGTACAAGGGGCTACTCGTAGGTGTCTGTACGGGTGACTGCCAATGAGGGTGTACGTGTGTGGATGTGTGTGATGTGTGTGAACACAGGAGAGCCTGCTCACTGCAGCCGGGGGGAGGGGGACAATGACGCCTTCTCCCCGGGTGAATAAAGTCAAGTGGAAAGTGTGAGGAGGCAAGGCGGCTCCCCAGCCAGGGGAGCCCTCCGACAGGAAGCCGCTAGCATGCTAGTGACTGCCTCGCCCCTCCGCCTCCACGCCCCTCCCTCCGGTCTCACTGCCCTAGGGAGGGGGCTGCTTTCTGCCTGGGGCACCCAGCAGCCAGGCTTCCCTCAGCCCCAGCTCTGGAGGCTCGGGAGCAGGGCTGCTGATGTCATCCGGAGAGGGCAAAAAGCCAGACTCTTTATCTGCCCTGGCTGGGCCTCTCGGGGCCAGCTGCCCAGGCACTTGGGTCTTCGTGCCTGGCAAGTGAGGGCAGGCCCCAGGTCAGGGTCAAAGGGACCTGAGAGTCCTTGCCTTGCCAGCCTCCTGGGGCCCTTTTATGGCAGAGATACTGAGAACACACTAGGGATGGGCCTTGCTATGGGCGGGCTGCCCGCCAGGCTTGCAAAGCCCCTGGAGGCACGCTGAGGATGGTTAGCCCCATTTCAGAAATGAGGTAACTAAGGCTGAAGAACTTCAGAACCCGGAGCTCGGAGAGCTGGCTTCTGCCCTCAGCATGGCTGCAGAACCCTGGGCACAGGCAGCCAGGGAGTACAGTGGGCTTAGCAGGAGACCTGAGTTCAAGTCCAGCCTCAGACACTTGCTAGCTGTGTGATCCTGCAAGGTGCTGAACCTTGGTTTGCCTGAGTTTCCTCACCTTTAAAATGGGGATGACAATAATCAGCCCTGTCAGGACTGTTGTGAGGATCAAATAAGATAATAATTGTAAAGTGCTTAGCGCAGTGCCTGGCACACAGAAGGTGCTTAATTAACGTTAGCATTATTATTAATTTCATGGAAACATAGAAGAGAGCAGAAAAGAACCCCAGAGGCCGCCAAGTCTGACCCAGAGCTAAGCAGAAATGCCCTCTGCCCGACAAGCAATCCCCCAGACCTGTGTGGAGACCACCGGTGGCAGGGAACCCACTCCCTCCTGAGGCGGCCTGTTGCTCTAGGGGACAGCCCTGACCGAAGAGACAGAAGGCAGAGCAGCTTCTGCCCACATCTCCTTTAGCTTCCGGAGCCCAGCAGAATACGGCTAATCTCTCTTCCAGCGGGGAGCCTTCCAAATCCACACAGCTCCACGTGAACCCTGAGCCTTCTCCTCTCCGTGGTCCTCCTCCTGCTGTCCTGCCCTCCCATTTTACAGATCAGTGTCTTTACTCATCTGTAAAATGGGCATGCTATTTACCTTCCCACCCCAGAGGGGCATGAGGAGGTGATAGCCTTTCCCTCCCAGGGGGTTCTCCAGCCACAGCTTCCACACCTGTCCCAGCCTGGGGATCAGCTCCTCCACAAACCTTCCCTGGTCTCCACCCAAAAGGAGTGATTTCTTGGATCCCTGGATCTCTCAGAGAAGTTTCTTTGTCCTTTTACCACATTCCCTACATCCCAAAGGTGGGCCAGGCCCATTCTTCACTTCTCTGCTGCCTACAGACAATTTCTCCACCACCATCTTTCCCATATGAGGCCACAACCTCTCCTCCCTTAAAGGTCAATCACCAGGCATCGTCTGTGCCTGCTTCTGTTCTGTCTCCATCCTCTCTCTCAGGGACTTCATCAGCTCCCATAATTTTAATTATCTCCTCCTTGAAGATGGCTCCTGCATCCATGTACTGGGTCCCAGTGTCTCTCCTGAGCTCCATTCCTGAATCACCAGCTGCCTCAGATTGAACATCCTTCGGCAATTCAGACTAGACTGTCCAGCAACCTCCAGTCCACTCTCTAGTCTCTTTCTTCTTTCACTCTTGGGGATCTCATCAAATGTTGTAGGGTTAGTCAACATCTTAGTGACTCCCAAATAAGCAGCCCTCATCACTCTCTTGGGCTTCGGTTCCATTTCACCAATTGCCTACTGGAAATCTCTGCCAATGTGGTACAGGCCTCTCAAACCCAATATATTGAAAGTAGAACTTATTATCTTCACCCAAAAAAATCCACTCCCCTTCTTTCTAAGGCATCACCATCTTTCCAGTCAGCCAGGTTTCAACCTTGGACTCATCCTTGACTCTGCTCACCCTCTCCACCCAAACCCAATCAGTTATCAGGCCTCCCTCCATAACATCTCTCCCTTCTGCCCCCCCTCCCCTTTACATGGCCCCCATCCCAGATCAGGCCCTATTTAATTGACTGATTTCATTCTCCCCCCCACTCCTTCCATGACTGCAGTACTCTCCCTCCAGCTCTCTGCCTCCTGGCACCCCTAGCTCCCTTGGAGGCTCAACTGAGGAATAGCTCCAGCCTTCCCTGAGCCCCCCAGTGCTTCCCCTCCCCTGAAATCATGTCCTATCTACTTATTGATACACAGGTTATTTCCCCTCCCCCATAGCTGGTGTGCTCAATGAAGGCAGGGACTGCTTTGTTTTCTCTCTTCATACCCCAGGTGCCTGCCACAGGGTCTGGCACATAGTAGGGACTTCATACTCATCGAATTGGATTGAATCCTGCAGCATTTCTGGTCTGTTGTGTGTACTTCAACCATACACGCTCTTGGACCATCCAAGCAAAAGTAAGCTTCTTGAGGGGGCCAGACACACAGCAGATGCTCTTTAAATGAAGGGGGTGGCACTGTTCATTCGTGTTTCTTGTGCCAAGCTCTGGTCTCTCCCCTCCACGTTCAGGCTCCTTGGGGTCAGGGCCTTGTGTGTCTCTGGTCTCTCCACCCCACCCTCCTCCTCCAGCACAGTGGATGCCACGAGGGAAGGGGTAACAATTCATGCTTTTTGGTTGGTGGGTACACATTGGGAGGAACCCCTGGAGGTCAGTGAGTGGGGGATGCTGATTTTGATCTAAGCTTCCAGGGCAGGACTTGGACATCAGCCTACATCCCTTAAGAGCTCCTTCCCCTTCCTCCACTTGCTTCTAGGCCTCTCCTTCTCCCAACCTCTTCACCCCCAAAAACAAGACCATGTTCACAAACAGCTTCAAAGACAGATTCTTTTTAAATTTACAGTAGAAAACAAACTCATAGAAATGAGGCACCAAAGCCCAAATGGGCCTACTGAAAAAATTAGGGGATGTCAACACATAGCGTGGTTTCTATTCTCCACCCACTTCCCTCTCTTGCCACCCCAGAAGTCCATGGGAGCAGCTACAGGCTAGATTCATCTCAGCCACTCCTCATAGTCTTCATCGGCCAAGATCAAGTGCAAATATGCAAAATAACTAAAGAATTATGGCTCGTCACCATTTTAAATACAAGATTTAGCAATGCCAGCAGATTGCCCACAGCACCGTCAGAGGCATAGGTAGTGCCTGGCAAGAGCCCAGGGGTGTAGGGCTCACCTGTACCTCATGTTAAAATAAATAATAATAATAATAATAATAACTTTAAGAAGCCAAATCACAGTTTACACAGATTCAAGGAGAAATGGCTCCCAGATTTGGGATGTCCATGCTGGTTGAAGAGATGAGAAATCCTCTTTAAAGGAAAAGGTCAGATCAGCCTCAGTTCCATTGCTGTTAACCGGGCTGAGACTACCCCAGAAGCCACCAGGCACAACCCAGGAGCCACCCTGGAGACTGGTGTGTGGGTCCTTGGCACTAAGGAGCTAATCAAACCCCAAATGGCTTTGGCATACCCTGGCAGGGCTCTAGACTGGCGGAGCCAAATCAGTGTCCTGGGGGCTGGGAGCAAGGCAGATCAAAAGGGCTGAGCTGGTGGAGTGGGATAGGATCTGGGTCGGGGTGTGGGTGAGGAGGAGGCTCCATCCCCTCTTCTCCTGCCCTCAAACTGTGGGCTAGAGCAGCCCCAGGCAGGTGAGGACTAGGCCCTGCTCAGGCCCCACCCCCTTCAGGACCTCTAAGGTTTTCACTTTCACAGTTAGCAGTCTGTGCCCACAGAGTCTGCATTAACTCTCATGAAAAATGCCCACATCAGGCCGATTTGGGGGGAAGGGTGTCTGGTTTGCCAACACCTCCTTGCATCTCTGTAGCGCTGAGTGTACCCCAGGACGTGCTCCCTCCCTCTCCTTCCTTGCTCTGCCCCCAGCCCCTCCACTCTCCCAGTAGAAACTCTGTCATCCTTCCCTAACCCTGAGGATTAGATCTGGCCCCATTCATCTGTTATCCTCCTGAATGAGCCTTCCTATCCAAGCATAGGAAGAGCCCTGGATGTGGCCTGGGTTCGAGTGCTGCCTCTGATACCCACTGTGTGGCCTGGGACAAATGATTTAACTTCTTATTGGCAGCTCCTAAGACTAAGTTTCAGAGAAGACGCGGGTCTGCGTAGGCAGCATAGATGCCCTCCATCCATACAGTGTTCTTGGGTGAGTCCCTTCCCCTCTCTTGGCCTGTTTTCTCTTTTATGAAATGAGGGGCTGGATCTCAAAGGCCCCTTCCAGCTGTACATTCTATGAATGACCAGGAATCTCCCCCCACCCCAAACCAGGATCCATTCCCCCAGAAGGGACAGTGTGGTAAGGGAGGTAAAGGGGGACAGGGAACAGCATGGGACGGCTTGGGATCCCAACCCAGCTCTGCTAGCAACTAGCTGGGCCTCCTGGGGGCCTTTCTGAGCCTCCATTTTCTCATCCGTGGAATGAGAGGAATGACACCCACCTTGCCTAGCTCCTAGGTAAGGACAGATTTCCATGAGTACTTTCTTAGCTTACTAGGAGCACCAGCATTGGGATCTTTCTGTCCAAGGGGACACATGTCCTCTTGGCTCAGCAGCCCTACCTTCCCATTCTCACTCCCAGCCCCCCAGGGCAAACGCCAGGTGGGCAGCAAAGCAAACAGTCCCACAAGCCTCTATATTCTCCTGGGACCCCTGGACAGGGCTGAGGACCCGCTGCCTCTCTGTCAGGACTGGCCCTTCCCAGGTGGAGCAGCAGATAGGGAGGAGGAAATGAATTGGGTTCCCACTCCTCAGGGACCTTCCACCAGCCTGAGCTTGGAGGAAAGTCCTCCAGGAATCCTAGAGACTTCCTATCCAGGGGCTCTGCAAGTCTGCCAGGGTCCTCCGGAGGCTGCAGCAGCTCACTTCCTATGGGGAGAGCTGCCGTAGAAGGCAGATTTCTCTGCTGGGAAGATGATAGTGGCATATTCCGTCTGTTCACCCGAGCCGGCCCCTCCTTGTTTGGGGACCTCAGTCCTCTGGAAATCTAGCTGGCCATAGACCACGGTGGACACTGATGCGACAGACGGCTCAGCCTTCTTCAAGGCCTAAAAGAAGAAAACGCAAAAGATTCTCTGAGCATTATCACTTCCAAAATACCCATCAGCATTCAGCATTAGCAACATCCGGCAGGGCCGAAACGACTCACTGTCTATAGTGTGGGGACCGGGGAGCCAGAGACACCTTGCTCTAATGCCAGCTCTGCCCACCGACCAAGTGTGCAAGTGAGAGGAAGGCGCTGCCCCTCCATTATCTGACCACACCTTCAGCGAGGACTGTCCCACCCCCCTTCTGGCCTCTTTTGAAAGGCAGCTATGGACTCGGGGGTCAGGAAGACCCAAGTTCAAACGCTGCTTCAGATACTTAACAGCTGTGTGACCCTGGGCAAGTCCCTTAACCAACGTCTGCCTCAATTTCCTCACCTGTAAAATGGGGATCATAATGCCACCCATGTTACAGGGTGAGTGTGGTGACCAAATGAGATAATATGGGCTTCTGAACTTTAATGTGCTACCAGGAGGAGGGGGAGGAGGGGGAGGGGAGAGAAGGGGGAGGGGAGGGGGAGGAGGGAGGAGGAGCAGCAGCAGTAGTAGTATCCTGATACCAGAGGGTCGAAAAAGAACACAGCCACTAATCCAGCCTCAAATACTCGACACTCACTAGCTGTGTGACCCTGGGCAAGTAGCTTTTCCTCTATCTGCCTCACTTTCCTCATCTGGAAAATGGGGATGATAATAATAGCAACTGTTTCTCAGGATTGTTGTGAGGATAGAAGGAGATAATACTTGTAATGCTTAGGACAGTGCTTGGGATGCAGTAGGTGCATAATAAATACTTAGATATTCCCTCACTGTTTTAGAGGTAACCAGGTGACACAGTGAATAGAGCCCTGGCTCTGGGGTCAAGGAGAGCTGAGTTCAATTCCAGCCTCAAACACTTACTAGCAGTGTGACCCTGGGCACTATGAAAAACTATAAAATGAGGATGATAATAATAACATCCACATCCCAGGGTTGTTGTAAGTATCAGATGAGACAATATTTGTAAAGTACTTAGCACAGTGCCTGGTGCATAGGAGGTGCTTAAGAAATGGGTTTTTTTTCCCCTTCCTTCTACAAATGAGGAAACTGAGACCCAGGAAAGGCAAATGACTTGGCTAAATTCACACACAAGGAAGAAGGAAGGGAGGGAGGGAGGGGAGGGAGGGAGGGAGGAAGGGAGGGAAGGAGGAAGGAAGGGAAGGAGGAGGAAGGAAGGAGGAGGAGGGAGGAGGGAGAAGGGAGGGAAGGAGGAAGAAAGGAAGGAGGAAGGAAGGAGGGAGGGAGGGAGGGAGGGGGAGAGAAGAAGGAAGGAAGGAGGGAGGGAGGAGGAGGGAGGGAGGAGGAAGGAGAAGGAGGAAGAAAGGAAGGAGGAAGGGAGGAGGGAGGGAGGAGGAGAAGGAGGAGGAGGAAGGAGGGAAGGAAGGGAGGAGGGAGGAAGGGAGGAGGAGGGAGGGAAGGAAGGGAGGGAGGAGGGGAGGAGGAGGGAGGGAGGGAGGGAGGGAATGTTAAAAGAACTATAGAGCTGAGACGGATTGTTTTTTTGGACATGAGACACAAGGCAGTAAACGATTTTGTAAAACCATTCCATGGTGATTCCAGAGACGTTCTCAGGCCAAAGGGGAGACTAGGGAAGCCCACTGTTCACTGTTACCACCTCCCCCCCCACCAGATGCACTCTTTCTTGCCTTCTCTCTCCTTTTTCTCCTCTCTACTACCTCCCCTCCCTTTTTCTTTCTCTCTTCATTTTTTGGGGAGATGAAGGAGAAAGAGCAATTTCATTTGGAGTCAGGATAACCAGGCTCAAATCCCAGAGGGGCTGGAATTAATTTGCCCAGAATCACAAAGAGAAGTCTGGATTTGAACCTCTGGCTCTAGAATGTGTTTTTTCCATGGTGTTATCCTGAAGTGACGTGTCCAACATTACGCCCGTGAAAAGTGGTAGAACTGAGCTTCAGACCCAGTCCTTTCGACTCCTAATTCAGTGTTCTTTCCACCATACCCTGGTGACCCCAGGAGCTAAAGCCAGATGGGCCTGAGAGAGCAATTAGCCCAACTCACTCATTTTACAGCAGAGGAAACTGAGGCATCGAGGAGGGAAAGGACTCAGCCAGATGTACTTGGCAGTGCTGGGATTTGAACCCAGGTCCTCAGGTTTTCCTGAGGATTCTCCAGGGAGACATGCATGCCAATCTGCCTCCACAAACATGCACAGCATCATACTTCTGGATAAATAAGAGGAAGGGGACTTTAAAGAAACTCACCAGAGAGTCCTTGTTGCTCTCAGACTTACCCGCCCCTGCAAAGAAGATGGTTACTGGTCAGAAAAAATCGGAGCTGAGATTTTTAAATCTACCATTCCCCAGCCCCAAGAGATTACAAGGGAAGAGGAAAGCTCTGGTCCTGAAAGGTGAGAAATCTGAAGCAAAACCCCCAAGGAGAACATTGGAACGGAGCAGAGATTTGTTGGGAAGCCCAGAGAGGCCCCATGGAGCCCCCCAGGAGAGTCGTGTTGCATAAGGCAGCATCATTGCATAAAGGTTTCATCATGGACGGCGGAGGGTGAGGGAGCGAGATCTCCACGACCCCTTCCCAGGCTGCCTTTCTTCCCTGTTTCCCACTCTCTCCTTCACCAACAAATAGCCCAAGGACAAGAACAGCTGCTCCTGTCCCAGTGAAACAAACACATAGAAACCAGCCTTGCTCCTCAGTGATCCCTCCTCTTGGAGGGTCAGAGCAGGAGGAAGGGCAAGAGAAGGAAACAGGCGGGGAAATCAGGCCAAGGAGGGGCCAGCCTGCAGCTCCAGGTCCCAACTGTTTGCAAACAGGGAGGAAAAGGGACTTTGAGAAATCATCACTTCCCCCATCCTAAACCGAGCATAGTGGGACCTTGGGGAAATAGAAACCCACGGCTGATCAAAGTCTCCAGATGTTTCTGCCTATGAGGGAGGGGGTGCCGGAGGAGGAGGGCTGCCCTCGGAGCCAGGAAAATCTTGACATTCCACGTCAGACACGTACTAGCTCCCCCTGACCAAGACATGACCCAAGACAGTTCCAAAGGACTCATGCTGAAAATGTTCTCCACCTCCACAGACCACTGGCGAACTCAGAGTGCAGAGGGGAGCAGACTCTGTTTTACTTTATTTTTCTTGGGGAGCTTTGTCTGTTTCTTTTGCAACATGGCTAATATGGAAATGTCTTGCATAACTTCACGTGTATCATGGGTTGATCATTTGTTTGTCTTTTCAATGGCTGTGGGAGGGAGAAAGGGACAGAATTTGAAACTCAAAAATTTTAATGAATAAATAAATGAATAAACATTCATTGAAAACAAAAACACTCAAGTTTTTACATGTACCTGGGAAATCTTTAACGAAATCAAGAAAAGAACTTACAAAGAAATGAACTAGGGGCAGCTAAGTGGCCGGTGCAGTGGATAAAGCACTGGCCCTGAAGTCAGGAGTACCTGAGTTCAAATCTGATCTCAGACCAAAGACTCAACACTTACTAACTGTGTGACCCTGGGCAAGTCACTTAACCCCAGTTGCCAGAAAGGAAGGAAGGAAGGAAGGAAGGAAGGAAGGAAGGAAGGAAGGAAGGAAGGAAGGAAGGAAGGAAGGAAGGAAGGAAGGAAGGAAGGAAGGAAGGAAGGAAAGAATGTCGTAGTTCCTTGGGACCAAGATGTGACCCCAAGACAATTCCAAAGGTCCCATGATAAAAATGGTCTCCACCTCCAGAGTAGGTGACAAACTCTGAGTGCAGACTGAAGCAGACTTTTTCATTTTCTTTTTTGCAACATGGCTAATACAGAAATATATTTTACATGATTTCACATGTATAATTGATATCATACTGCTTGCACAAGGAAGTGGGAGGGTGGAAGGGAGAGAACTTGGAACTCAATTTTTTAAATGAATATTAAAAATAGATAGTAGTAGTAATAGTAGATAGTAGCAGTAGCAGCAGCAGCAGTAGTAGTAGTAGTAGCAGCAGCAGCAGTAGTAATAGTAGCAGTAGTAACAGCAGTAGCAGTAGTAATGGTAGTAGTAGCAGCAGAAGCAGTAATAATAATAGGAGCAGCAACAGTAGCAGCAGCAGTAGTAGTAATAGTGGTAGTAGTAGCAGTAGTAGCAGCAGCAGCAGCAGTAACAATAATAATAGTAGTAGTAGTAGTAGCAGCAGCAGCAATAGCAATAGTAGTAGTAGTTGTAGCAAGTAGTAGCAGCAGCAGTAGCAGTAGTGATGGAAATTGTTATCATTATTATACTTTCAAAGCAATGCCATATGGACCAGATAATTTGGAGCTAAAATACACCTTAGAAAGACTCTAACAGTTTAAGAAAAAATAGCTGATTTCTCCAAGCAACTATCCCCTGGGGAGGACTGTCTTCCATATACAGCTTCCTTTGCTGGAGAGGCAGCTGGGACAGAGAGGGAACGTTACCTGCTCTAGGTCACACAGCAATTTGAGGTGAAAGCCAGAATCCAGAGTTCCAAGCTTCTTGGCTGCTATGGCTTCCATAATGACCACTAGACAGACCAGGTCTCTCTCTGGATCCTAGAACCCCAGGTGGCTAGTCACCAGCACCTCCACTCCTCACCCTCTGTCCCAGTTTCTCACAATACAAAAGTGTTTGAAAGCAGAAGGTCTGGGTTATGGAGGACAGGAGGAGGCTGGGACATACTGAGCTCAATCTTCTCTTGTCTGTTTCCTGGCTCAGGGGCCAAGGACCTTTCCTGGATCATTATCATAGTGACAAAGGCCAAAATCAAGTCTGTTCCTTTGATGATTCTGGAAGTACCTCTGTCAGCTCCCTCTCCTTCCACGCACCTCAGGCCTAGGTCTAGGCTTACCTCAGGTAGGCATCTCACCTCTGTGTCCAGAAACCAGTCCTGGAGCTACCAGAGAGAGCCAGCCTGATGTGACAGAAAATGCATTAGAAGCTGGGTGTGAGGGCATCCACCTGCAATGCCAGGTGCTGTGGAAGTTGAGACTGGCAGATTCACAGAGTGCTGAGGAATACTGCACTGGGCTCTGCCAATTGAGTGTCCACACCAAGACTGGCATCCATATGGTGAGCTCCCCAGAGTGCTGAAGGAGGGGGTAAGTGGCCCAAGTCAGAAATACCAATCGGAGCATTTATGAGGGCCCCTGCCTTCCTTTTTTGATGGTGGGCACAGAGCCAGCTCATGTGAGTTTTAATCCTCACTTTGCCGCTTGTAAGGGCCCAATGACTTCAGTTTCCTTCTCTATAAAATCAATGTCACAAGAAGACAGAAAGGGAAGACCACTGGAAGACAAGGGAGGAAGAAGTGGAATAGCAGGGGCATCTATGCAAATACGTAGGCATTATCTCACTGAGATAATATAAGCTTCTTGAGCATAGGGACAATTTTATTTTTTGTCTTTGTGTTACAAATTCCTAGCACATGCCTGGCACACAGGAAGCATTTAATAACCAATAGCAGCTGGGTTGGGCAGTGGGTAGAACACTGGGCCTGGGATCAGGACAACCCGAGTTCAAACCCAGCCTTAGACATTTGCTAGTTGTGTGACCCTGGACAAGTCAATTACTCACTGTCTGCCTCAGTTTCATCATCTATAAAATGGAGATCATAATAGCATCTTCCTCCAGGGTTATTTCTAGGATCAAATGAGATAATAATTGTAAAGCACTTAGCACAGTGCCGGGTACATAAGTAAGCTCTATATAAATGTTAGCTATGTCATAATTGTTTATTTTTATTATTATATGCTTGTAGCTGAAAAAAAGCTAACATAGAGCTTGCATGCCTGGTAGATCTTGGTCTTTGAGAGTTCAGAGGATTATAGGTCTAGAACTAGAAGGATTGTCTACTTTGATCTCTTTTTACAGATGAGGAAACTGAGGTCCTGAGAAGTTAAATGATTGGCCCATGGTGAAGACTTGTTTGCTTTTGTATCTTTTGTATCTATAGCTCCAACACTTAGCACAATGCTTGGCATGGTAAGTCCTTACATGCTTTTTTGTCCATCTGCCCATCCATCCACCCACCCATCCATCCATCCACTCATCCACCCACCCATCCATCCATCCACTCATCCACTCACCCATCCATCCATCCATCCACTCATCCACTCACCCATCCATCCATCCACCCATTTATCCATCCATCCACCAGCCCTCAAGGGGCTGACGTTCTAACATGGGGAGACAGCATCTAGAAGGGAGTAGTGGTCAGGAAAATCACCAAGATGGCAAGTTGAACAACACAGCATTCCATTCACACTCCCTTTCCTGAGGTGGTAGCTGGAGCAAGCTGCATTATTACTCCCATTCTGAAGATGAGGAAAATGCAGAGATGAGAATACAATGATGCCATGTTCACCCAAAAAAAATATTTAAACCCAAGTCTCCTGACTCCAAGGCTAGCGTTCTACTCACTACTTCACTGATGATGAGGATGAAGAAGAAAAGAGGAAGGAGAAGAGGAAGAGGTGGCAATGACTTCTTGAGCTCCTCCAAGCCCGGGACAGGCAATTAAACAGCCAACTAATAAACATCTATTAAGCATTTACTGTGGGCCAGTCTGATCCCAAGCCCCAGGGACACAAAGAGAGAGCAAAACCAGCCCCTGCCCCAAGGAGCGAATGTCCCAACAGAGGAGACATGACCATCAGTAGCAGGTGGAGGGTAACCCTCTCAAGGAAGACAGGAGCAGGGGGAGGGTGAGGCTGGGTGGGGGAGGGGTGCTAAGGAGAGCCATTACCTCCTCGACCTCGGAATTCTACCACAAACAGAATCCAGCAGAGCAGCAGCAGCAGCACAGCCCCCACGACAACAGAGACCACCACAATGATCCATGGAAATTTTTCTGGACGCACTGGGGTGGTGAAGGGAGGAGTCGTTGTTGAGACCACGATTCTTTCTAGAGGTTGGAGAAGAAGGCGGGAGACATCTCAAGCCTCTCGTTAAGTGACACCTGGGGAAGTTCATTCTCGTGCTTTCCTCAGTGGGTCAGCCACGACTCTATAGATACGAGCCTATGGGGAGCCAGGGAGCACAGGGGGTGTTCTTAACAGTGGGACTGGGGCTGGACAGGGTAAGAAAGCGCGAGAGAAGCAGCTAAGTTGCCAGAGCAGCTGCACATGACCCAGGCTGGAATGGACTTGGCCCCAGACTACTCTGTCGAGTTCGCTGGACCCAGCCTTGGAGCAGGGCCCTTTCTCAGTCTCTGGTACAGCATTCGCTGTCCATTTTTCTGTAGGAGGACTAACCCACCTGTCACAGTGAGCTCTGACCGGTTACTTTCTTCCACTGGTGGCATTTCAAAATTGATAATTCCACAGAAGTATCTCCCACTGTCGTTCATTTGGAGTCCCAAAATAGTCATCTCGTAGGTCTGCTTATCCTCCCGCATGGCTATGTGATACCTGGCCTGCAGGTGGGAGCTGGGCGTGTCTTTGGGGTAGGCAGCTAACTTCTCTGGCTGACTGCCGTTCTTTTCTCTGTACCAGTTTAAGATGGGAACTTGTAATCTGTGAGAGACGTTGCAGACAAAAGTGGCATTTTCTCCTTCTGCCCTTGAGAGCTGGAGTGGCCAAAAGCCAAGGCTATACTGGGTTTTCACTGGAAAAACAAATCAAATGTGAGAATTTGTTGTCCACAACATCTCTGGCTTCTGACCCCTTATCTATACCCACACCACATTCCTTCTGCCACACCGTATTACCCTCCTCTCTAATTCTAGCCTTGTTGAGGTTGGGCTAGCCAGTCACTGAGAGACCTGCCCAACCCTGAGATTTGGTAGCTGAAGAGTTATCACAGGTGAAAGAGCCACCAGGCAAAGGAAGTGATTGTCTATAAAAGGTAGGGGATTTGGAACAAGCTGATAGAACCCCTGTTTGATCTATTGTTTTCTGGAGCCCCAACCTAGCCAGTCTAACTGGTGGGAATTCCATCAAGAAAGCCATTTGTCCAGCATATACTGAAGATAGCTGTGTCCTGGGCACAGGGCTTTCCATGGAGGTAAAGATTACACAGTGAGAGGATTGGAGGATCTTAAATTTAAAGGGCCGTCTGAGGTCCTCTTACAGATGAGGAAACTGAGGCCCAGAGAGGTTAAGTGATTAGTTCAAGGTTATATAAGTAGTAAACATCACAAGTATTTAAACCCAGGTCCTTTGACTCTGCAGCCAGCATGTTTCCCACCAAGCCAAGCATTTCTGAAGGAATTCTAATATCATCAAATATTCCTATGATGGTGACAGGAAAGAAAACCAGACCCTATGAGAATCAGACTAAACAATCTTTTCTTTGGGGGGGGGGAACCAAGCATCCCCACTATATTTATGAAAGAGAAGGGAACCACTTAGGTTCCCAAAAGTCCATTTTTCTAGTACAAGGTGAGGCAGGCATGGCTGCACAAGAAACAAAAGCTGCCTTGGGCTGCCTTACCAAAGGCAAAATGTTCAGCACAAGAGAGAGTGTAGGCCCTCTGTCCTTTGCCCTGGTCAGGCCACATCTGAAGAACCATGTTCATTTGAAGGAACCACATAGCATCTGAAAGGGCAATCTTGCTTGGTGGACAAGGAGCCATCCTTACCATCCATGCCAACACCAACACCCACTGCCAACCAACTTTCATGGACAGCAGGAAAACCCAAGAGCCCCAGGAACAGCAGCAGCACCTCCTCAGACCATTGACCCCACTTCCAGTCTCTCCCCAAAGCCATCGTTCAGGCAAGCAAACTCTGGGGAAATAGAACCTGCTGACTGCCCCTGCAGGAGCCATAGTTTCCATCCTCACCAGCCACAGCTAAGATAACATGGAAAAGAAAGTTATTACCAGCTAAGTCCTTGGTGCTGTCCCATGGTTTAACACCAGAAATAGATCTGATTTTGTTAATGGGAATGACATCAAAGAAGAAGTGCCACCATCAGGACCACCTGGACCCTTCTACCCTTAGGTCCAGGGGCCTTCCTATCTGTCCTGCAGTTAACCCCTCCCATATGTACCATTTCTCCCTAAGAACATGAGCTCCATCAGTGCAGGGGCCATCTTTTTTATTTGTATCACCAACGTTTAATATCATACTCAGTACATAGTAGGCACTTAATAAATGTTTTCTATTCATTCATTTACATACTAGAGAAGGCATTGATAAACATCCATAAGGTGGTGACCAGGATGGTGAATGAAGGGCCAAGAGCTCATATTCTATGAGCATTAAATGAACCAATGATTCAACAAATTGAATGAGCATTGAATATCCAGGATATCTAGAGAAAACAGCAGAGTAGAGTCGAAGTATTTGAAGGACCCCCAAATAGGAGGAGAAGTAGGCACATTCTGTGGGGCTGCAGAGATATCTGAGCCTTGTCAGCAAGCCACCCCATCGGCCATCAGCAAGAAGCTTCTCCCCCAAATGAATAGGAAGAATGACCTCTGCCTTTAATGAGGCATGAATAAAGCCTGGCCTTCATTAACATCAGCCTACAATGAATTATTACCAGAGATGGAATGGGAGGCATGTTATTTTAAGTTTTCCAAATGACTGTGCTGTCCAAGGCCAGTTGGCCTCAGTGGTCCCTAAGAACCATATGCAGAGGGGCATGGCTGAGCCATCCTAGCAGACAATGCCAGGGCTCCCCTGATCGTGCATTTGACAAACTGCCCTGCCACAGATCACACTCTGTGGGGAATGGATGAGTGTTTGCTGTGACATTAGAGAATGCCAGCATCGCCATGCTGACCAGAGCCAGTTAATAATGCAATTAAGTTCTTGACACCAAGTCAAGTGTTGCCCACAACACCTGGCAAGTGTACATATCAACCAAAGCTGCTGTGTTTGGGGACTAACCAGCCCTGCTCCAATCATCGTGCTTAGACATCTCTCACCTCAGATGCCTTTTAGTTGTGTGACCCTGGGCAAGTCCCTTCCCTTCTCTGGGCTTGAGTTCTCTCATCTGCAAAATGAGTGGATTGGACGGCTGGCCCCTGAGAACCTTCCCACTTCCCAATCTCTCATCCTATGAATGTAACATAAAATGGGGTGTGAAGATAAAGTAGAGATTCATAGAAATTGAAAAGAGAGAAAATTCAAGCATTTAACAAGAGCCTGGCATGTGCTGATCACTGAATGGGGGAGGAGCCAAAAAGGAAGCAACACCTGCCCTTAGGGAGCTTCCATTCCACTGAGGGGAAGGGGGCAGAGCATCAGGTACACAGGTGAGTAAATACAAAGTAGATTTCCGGATGAAGCGCAGGTATGAAGGGGAGATTAAGTAAGACCCCCGTAGGAGGTGGCCTTTGAGGTCAATTCCAAAAGGAAAAGGGAAGGCATTCCAGGCATGAGGGACAACATAAACAAAGGCTCAGAGATGGGGTGGCAAATATGGAAAATGAACGGTTTGGCAGAAATAAAGGTGTGAGCATGGAAATGAGACTAGAAGCATGTGTTGGAAGATCTTCCATGCCAGCCAAAGAGCCAAGGAAGGCAGCCTGGAAGAGGTGGTCCCTGAGCTAAGCCTTGAGGGCAGATGATAAACAAGGGGATGTCATGATGGGCCTTCCTGCTGAGGTGTGGGTCAGAACAGTTACCCCCAGAGCTCTCTTTCAGTCCTAAGATTCTACAAGCTTCTAATGGACCCTGGATCCGGTTTTGTTTAACCCGCCCAGTATAGAACCCCAGACTGTGCTAACTTAGGGCCAAGCCACCATTTCTGCCTTCATAGTCAACATGCCTTTTTCAGGTGGGTGGGGCTGTGGGGGTGGGTGTTCTGAAACCTAACAGCCTTTGGCACCAGGCTGCTGAAAAGCTGCACCCACCCCCGAGGTTCAAGGAAAATAGCTTCCCTGAGTGGGGCCAGGGTAGTGAGAAGAGGGGCTGACGGCATCTACCTGCTCTGTAGATAAGAGGACGAGGCAGTGGGGAGCACAAGCTCCTTTGAGCTGATGCGGCTTCCTCTCCAGGGAAGGACGGTACAGTAAGAGGGCTCAGCTTCTTTAAAAAACAATAAAAACCCAGTCAATTACTCCAAGGCCTGAGAAATACATAAGAGAAACATCAGTGATGTCACCGATGATAAACCCAAGGCAGTGTCTGAGTTGTAAGCTCTGGAGGAGGAAGGGGGGAAGATAGAACAACCATTCACACTCAGTCATAGAGTAAAGGCTGAAGGGACTCGAAAGGTCTAGGCCATTTCACAAAGGGAGAAACTTCGACTCACCTCCCATTCTTGTGGCTGGTTGTAGTTTCATTGGATGCAATCCAGTTGTGCCCAACAAATAGTAATTAAGCACCTACTGTGTGCCAGGCCCAGGGGAGACAGGCAAAGCAATCAGTTTCTGACTGCAAGAAGCTTATGACCCAGAGAGAGGAGTAATTCCAAGATTACAAAGTATATGCAGAGTAATACAAAGGGGTTTTTAAGAGAGAGCAGACCCCATCAACTGGGGGGCTCAGAAAAGGCCTTGTGGAGGCTGCAACTGAGCCTGAAGGCAGCTGCAGAGGCTGATTCAACTCACTTTTGACAGAGTGAGGACAATCTATTCCAGATCTGTACTAACATGCACAACCGAATGTTCGAAAAGAATGGCCTAAAACACACAGGGAGGAGAAATCCTTAGAGTCAACGTGAGAGACAGGCAGTATTAGTCTGTGACAGTAAGGAGAAGCCCACTCCCTACGGTCTAGTGAGACAAGGAGCACGGAGCATGGTGGGTTTGTAGCCAAGAGCTCTGAGATCAGCAGTGTGGTGCAGGGGAGTCTCAGGACTTGAGTTCAGATCCTGCTTCCGGTGCTTGTTACTTTGTGACCTTAGGCAAGGCTGTTGCCCTCCTGGCGTCCAACTCAAGGGATTATTTGGAATGCGCCTCACTCCCTCCCCAGCTGCTGCTTTCCTTCTCTGATGGCCTTTTGTCTGCGCAGCATTCATCTCGGATTGTACTGACTTCCAGACATGTTGTCTTCTCCATTAGAATGTAAGCCCTTTGAGGACTGGCAGGAAGTGCTTTTGCTTTTCTTTTGTATCCCTAGTGCTCAGCACGATGGCCGGCCCAGAGTTGGGGCTTGTTGGCTGCTGATTGGTGGAAAGAATATGGGGAAAAGATGGAAGTGGAAACAAAGGAACAGAGTTCCTCAGTTTGTGCCCCTCCTTGGAGGGGCCTGAGGGCCGGATGCTGTGGGAAGGCTGACTTCCAAGTTCTGCTCATGCTCACAAGGAAGGCACCCAGCAGAAGTGGCATCCTTAGATTTTCTTACAGCTCCCTGAGGTCTACAGCCTTTGACAACACCCAAGGACTAGGGGACTTTCCCAACATGGCTGGAGCCAGCTCAGGCTGGATAGCTGATTGTTAAATTTCCAGGGTGAACATTTACACCTCAGAAATCAAAAACCCCTACACTTCAGGACGTGGCTTATTGTTCTGTTGATGTAAGACTTAAGAAAATGATGGAGACGTGTTGATATGCCAATCAAACTTAAAAGTATTGCCTGCATGTTTTTTATCAGCACAATCCCAACACTCACCATAAAACTTTTTTATGCCACAAGAAAATGAATCTCAAAAGTCAATAACCACTACTAATTCACAGTGTGACCTGAGGCAAGTCATTTCCACATCAGAGCCTCAGTTTCCCCCACACCCACACCCACCCCCCGGTTAAATGAGCGGTTTGGACTCCTTCTGGCTTCAAAATAAAGACATAAAGGAGGCAGACTGCCATCAAAGCAAGTGCTGAGTTGGTCTTGGGGAAGCTGCCTTCAAACTCTGTTGGCCTTTCTTGATTTCAAGATATCATTGTAGGACATAGCCACATTTTACAGATGGATAGTGAGCGTGCACATCAATGTCTGTATTTGGGTTGGTATATGTGTGTGTAGTTTATGCCCACAAGAGGGTTGGTGTAGACTTCCCTTGAGGGGCAGCAGTCACACTAGCATTAGAAACATTAGAAGGGCCAGTGGAGCATTCCTTTCCCCCCTTTGCCCAACCCTGAACCTCAGTTTCCTCTTCTGTAAAATGGAAATAAAAACCCTTGCAGAACACGCCAATCAGGCTTATTGGGAGAAAACTCTTTGTAAATGTTCAGATGTTAGAGAAATATGGGTGACTCACTCTAATACTCTAGCTGGCCTAGGCATTTTAAAACTAACTTGTTATTAGAAAAAAGTGTCCACCGCTAACATGTATGTGTTCATTGGTACAGTCCCACACCACAAATTATCCAATAATTATTTCCAACTCAACGTCCTCTGGGCATCTCCGATTTATCCTGTCTAAACCAAAACTCATTATTTTCCTCCCCAAACTCACCTCCATTAAAGATTTCCCTCTTTCTGTCAAGGTCACCACCATCCTTCCTGAAGCTCAGAGACCCATCTTCCAAACCGAATTGTCTTCCTCAGCCTCTCTCCCTCCCTCACCCCAACACCCTCCCCCTCAACCCCGCCATTTCCAAACAGTTGCTAAGCCTTCTCATAGATTTAGAACCATAGACGTAGAAGTAGAAAGGACTTTTAAAGTCATAAAGTCCAACCTTCTTATTTTACAGATGAAGAAACTGAGGCCCAAAAAGATTAAACAACTTGCCTAAAGTCACGCAAGTCTTAAGTGACGAGTGGGATTGGAACCCAGATCCTTGGATTCCATGTTGAGAGTTCCTTCACACTCCTTAACATCTCCCGTATCAGTCCGTCCCCTTCTCCCTTCTCACCCAGCTACCTCAACAGCCTCCTACTTAGTCTTAATCCCTCAAGCCTCCAGCTATGAAAGTGATATATCCGAGCAAAGGTCTGCCTGGGTCACTCCCTTACTCCATAAACTCAAGAGGCTCCCTAGGACCAAATGCAAACGCCCACGTTAGTCTTTTAAAGCTCTTTACAACCTGACTCCAGCTTAACTTTCTAATTCTCCCGTCCATTAGTGCCCATCACGTGCACCATCCTCCAGTGAAACTTGCCTTCAACATCACCTCCTAAAGGAAGCCTTTCCTCTTCTCCCCAACATTAGAGCTTCCCTCTCTCTAATTACCTCGGGTTCATTCTCTACACACTTACACTGGTACCTGTTGCCTCTCCCTATAGAATGTAAGCTTGGGAGTAGGGAGGGCTTCATTCTCTGCATTTGTACCCCAGTAGGGTGCCTAGTACTTAGTAAACACTGAGTAGATGCTGACTGATTAATTCATCAGAAGAAATGCATGGTAACCAATAGCTGCCGTCTCTCAATACGTGAATGTGCTTTAGCTCACCAGAACCTACTTCATCACCGCTTGAAGTTTCAGTGTGCTTGCTTTTCAATGTACTCATAAGGTAAATCTATGCATCAAGTATTATTATCCCATTTTACAGATGAGGGATCTAGCCATAAGACATAAAGTGACTTGCCCAAAGTCACACCACTAGTAAGAGTCAAGGCCAGGATTTGAATTCAGGTCTTTTGACTCTGGCTTGAGTGCCTTTACTACTGCAGAGCCCAGAGTTAGCAAGGGCATAGGTGCAGCAAGCTGACCCAGCATGTCTAGAATAGTGATCACGCCATTGCGTTGCCCCCAAGGACTGAGTAGGACGCATCAAGGGCTGCTCTCATAATCCTGACGTCTCTTTCTCCTTTTTGGATTCTCACAAGAAGCTTCCCCAGAGCTTCAGAAAAGCTGGTGTCACGTGTGCCAGTCAGAGTTTACCTAGACTAAAATCAACTGAGAGAAATCCAAGTGAAAGCCTTGTGAACCACAGCCCCCTATAACAGTTCAAGAAATCAATGTTATACGAATTAATGTTTCCGAATGTTATGCCATTAGGAAAACAATAAACACAATCATATTAAAAGCAAAAACAGTTAAAACCATGTGATGATTCTTCTCTATATCTCAACAGATACAGAAAAAACCTTTGGTAAAGTACAATACTTATTTATGCTTTGTTTTTAAAAAAAACTACAAAGTACAGGCCTAGAAGAATCACTTTTTTCAATATCATAAAAAGTGTCTAACCAAAAGCAAATATCATATGCAATGTTGATACCCAAGAACCAGGAATGGACCTAGAAGGCCACAATTTCCCCATTCCTGTGTTTATCAGTCAAAGGCTGAGTCCAAGCTTTACAGAACAAATCTTTTTGTTAAGGGGATTTGTTCTGTGAAATTTAGCTTCGGTCAAAGGGCCACATGTGACCTCAAGGCCACAGGTTCACTGCCCCTGCACTAATAAAACACACGACTAAAGCAAGCATGCCCACTCTCCCTGTTATTATTTGATTCTAGAAATGCTAGATAACAGCAATAAACGAGAGAAAGAAATTAAGAGCATAAAGGTAAGTAAAGAAGAGACAAAACTATCCTGATCTTTTTTTTTGGTGACATGATGGGTTAATTAGGAAATACGGGGAATTACCAATAATACTAATTGGGACGAGAGGTGACGGAAGCAGTGTCAGATTTTATATTCTTGGACTCAAAGATCACTACAGACAGTGGCTGCAGCCATGAAATTGAAAGGTGTTTGCTCCTTGGAAACAAAGTTATGGCAAATTGGGACAGCAGACTAAAAAGCAGAGACATCACCTTGCTAGCAAAGGTCCATATAGTCAAAGCTTTGGTTTTTCCTTTAGCAATGTATGGCTGTGAGAGTTGGATTGTAAGGAAAACTGAATGCCACAGAATCTGTACTTCTAAATTGTGGTGATAGAGAAGACTTTTGAGAGTCCTTTGAACAGCAAGGAGATCAAAGCAGTCGGTACTTAAAGAAATTAATTTAGGCTGTTCACTGGATGGTCAAATACTGAAACTGAAGCTTAAATACTTTGACCACATAATGAGATGGAACTCGTCGGGGAAAAAACACCTTGATGTTGGGAAAGATAGAAGACAAAAGGAAAAAGGGGCCGGCAGAGGCTGAGATGGCTAGATGTGTCATGGAAGCAATGAATGTGAGCTTGGGCAGCCTTCAAGAGATGGTGGAAGACAGAAGGGCCTGGAGTGCTGTATATGGGATTATGAAG